GCATGATTTTAAGTCATCTTTTCCCACAAATGAAAATACTACACTCGGGTAGCAACAGCATACATTTTTAAGGAATAGTTTAAGAAAAGAGACTGTTTGATTTTTGTACTGTTATATGTAATATGTAATAACAAAGAAGGAAAAAGATTAAACGCTAAACGATTGTTTTACATGCGAAACCATCCCTGGCTGACGTGACGTTAAAATGACGTAGTGATGCTGCTCCGGGTCGATAAACATATGCATGATTATTATTTCACCGAAACTTTTATTATTATCATAGGAATTAGAAATTTTGCATAAGTGTTTTATTCGTTCTTTATAAAATGTTGATGAATTTTCCTGAAATTATCTTCGTCCTTTATGGAGTAAATGTAATTGTCTCAATAATTTCCGAACAGCCCTCGTAGTACTTATGTTTTTATATTTTTAGTAAACAAGTGAAATGGTAGTTTTCTTACATGTAGCAAAACCTTTATTGATCGAGTCTTCTGGTAGAACATAACATACGGACAAACTGTAGACCGTCTATATAAGATTGCCCATTTAGTTGAATGACAGTAAGAATACTGTCCGTAACTGACTAATAAATCTTTAATAGGCCTTGTGTGTGTGCGAAATTGGTTTCCCAACTGTTTTTGGAGAAATAAAAGAGAACTATAGCATTTGCATCAATGAAATTCCTAAATTTAAGTGGGATTTATCCAACTATTTCTTAGCAAAGAGGAAACGTTGTGGTGCTTTAGACACTTTGACATTATCATCCGTACGCCTTAAGGCGATACCACACATAACACAAAATCCCATAATTTGTTTATTTATGCATATATCCATTTGAAATTGGCTATGTTTATTGATGAAATATACTACAGAGTGAAAATTTTAGACCGCAGTATTTTTTTTCCCTCTACACAACTTTTCCACGATTTTTCCAGACAACCCTCGTATTTGTTGATAAATTTTCAATTAGAAAAATGCAGAGTGTATAGTTTGATTTGCATTTCCTGAAAATATTTTGAATTGTAAGCTTTCCCTACATAATATGATAAACTTAAATGATGAATTTGAAAGAGGAATCATGGGTAAAAGAACATTTTTTTTTTTACAATTGAGAGACATTCCTTTAGTATTTTCAACTATTGAAATATTAATTTTCAGGACCAAAAAATATATTTAAATTAATGATTTTTTTCTCTCCTGTAACATGAATTTTATTTTTGGAATTTCAAAAATTCTTTCCCTACGAAGAAAAAAATACACATGCATGTGAAGCTACGTTGTCGATATCATAATGCATGTTTATAGTAATTTTCGGACCATTTCACTCTCGCAAAATTGATATAATTTTCATAGCTCAAAGGATTGCTTTCTTGTATGTTTGAAACATATTAAATGTGCAAATTTGCTGTTAATTTAAGTAAAATTGGTGGAAAATCCACGTGTGAAGTATTGTAACCGACATATATAATCAGATCATCATCGCTACATTAATCGATCAAACTTCAAACCATTGATTTCTAAACGTGTATGGCTTAAAAGACGGTTTTACGCAAAATTTACTGCTTTAATAGATATAATTATTTGTATGTTCAATTTACAGAATTCGATGATTCAAGGAAACCTGATCAATCTGTCATTGAAATTCATGACGAACCCGCGGATTCCGGTTTCTACTTAATGAAGACAAGCCCCGTTGAGTTAGCCTTCATTTCTTTCAGAATTTTTTTAGGAGATATTGTGTCGACGGATCGTTTTGAAAGATTATTTACAACAATATTTTATGAAAGAAAATACAGATCCCAATAAGCACTTTTTCAATTCGCAGAGATCTGGTTACAAGACTCTGTTTTCCTTTGCTTTATCCATGATTTGTAATAACATCAACAAAGCTTTTACAGGAAATTGATTTCATGTCTAATTTTCTTTAACATGACAAAGATAGCGCACCACTTTAAAACCATTCCTTTTTCAGAATTATTTTATACGATCACGTAATAATGATATATCTTTTTTTCAAATTTTTTTATGCGAAGATTGAATTAATGCATATTATGATCTTTTTCACATGAGTAATTGAGAACATTTACTCAACATCTGGCAATAAGAGGCAAGTCATGATAGTACTAAGTGTGAATCCCTATCATTGACTCGAACAAATCGAATATTCTGCTTTTTATAACTCTATTATTCTACAATGCAGCATATTGTTCATTTATGCTTTTTCATGAAATTTGCACTGGCCTTCAACTCGACATTTAGATATATCGACGATATCCTATCAAATTACAAAAGCCATTTCCATTTTTATGTCGACCATTGAGTTTGAAATGAGAGACACTACAAAGGCTGACACAACTGTTCACACATGTATTTGTATACCAGTTTTATTAAAAATAGACGTCAATGGTAATCTTAAGAGCAAGCTTTATGATAAAAGTAATGATCTTCACTTTTCAATCATCAACTTCCCTTATTTATGCTGCAACATACATGTACCCTTATCACTCGCAGATGGGGATTACATATCTCAATTGATTCGATTCGTACATGTAAGAGTATATGCTCTGGAATGAACAATTTCTAAAATGTAAGGTAAGTTATTAATAAACAAGTTGATGTAAGAGGAATATCAACAAGTTTTTTAAAGTAATTATTGTGTAACTTTTATGGAAGAATACTGACATTTTTCATACTAATTGTTAGGCCATTATTTATTTACAAACTGACTTATCGACAGATTTTTACGTTATTTGCCGATCACGGTGCGCAATGCTGTTGTGACTGGTGGTCACTTCTCCATGATACCCGATCCGATCTCCGATCTTTTCTAGAAGTCCATCTTTGCTCTGCTCCTGATTTTAATTGATTGACATGATATATTAGCTTGAAAACTTGTTTGTTATCTCCATATCTTTCATACTCTGAGCTTCTTTCATGACTAATATTTGATCCAGAAGGATATTTGAGATTTGATGTAGATTAATGTGAGAAACTGAAGCATTTCTTATTTGAAGAGCAGTTTTGAAAGACTATGCTTATTTTTCTTAACTTGAGTTTAGAAATCCTCTTTACCTGAGACCAGGGATCATTATTTATAAGCAAAGGATGAGTTAACTGAATTTAAGCATTACTCCAGTAAAATTAGATGTTAAAGTTTATTCCCACTTTTATCTTCTCTATCCTTACCATGATTTTACGTAGTATATGCTGTGCAATTAAGACTCATTTTTTATCGCTTTTTCGTATTTTTAATCATTTTCATTCCTTTCAATTCACTGCCCTTTGTTTGTTATTGTTTAGCAAGAATGTTTTTGGTATTTCCAGAAATTTTCTGAAATCGTCGAGAAATAAGAACTTTAATCTTTAAATCAAAGAAATATTGTACATACCCGAGTTATCCATCTTTCTTTAAAGGTTTGGTTTTTGGAAACAACCTTAAATTATACAATGTACTATTAAAGAAAAGATTATGGATGCATATCAAAATATCAGCAAAGTACAAATGTGGATAGATGAGGATAATGATTTTTTTTACAATACTGTTTCTTGGACTTTCGCTCTCTTAATGCTGTCTTTAACAATTATTCTTCTCGTTTAACTACATGTACCTAGGAAACATTAATGTAGAAAAAAGGACGTTCTATCGATATGATTAAACATTAAAGCAAATGCAAGTAAATTTATAATTTTTACTTTTTAATTCAAAGAAAACAAGATGCTAGTATTAGATATCAAGGAAACAAAGTATAAAAGGGCATTCACACAAATTCAAGTCAACTGTATGTTGAAAAATTTGAAATAAGAATCAAATTTAATTTAAGGGACTCCGACCCTCATTTATAATTTAATTCAAAAAGTCTTTAAATGAAGCTTAAAAATTAAATATTTTCATGCAACAATTTTCATTATATGCCTCTCAATGTGCTTCAAGGTTCTTTGCAAAGCTCCATCAATCACTTCTAATTTCATATCATGTTAATAAACATTGGTATCTAAAAATGCTTTTACAGGATAAAAATTTCTACTTTTGATTAGACCTTTCTGAGAAGTTCAAAGAACCTTGAAGCACATTGAGAGGCATATAACCATGAAAAGATTAAATTTTCAAGTTCATTTAAAGACTTTTTAATTAAATTATAAATTAAAGAGTTGTCCTTCCTGGCTATATACACACAAAGAAAATAGATATTGGTTATGAATATTTTGTTCTTTCTCCTTAATCACACATTTCTTCTCTACATTTATATAGAATATATTTTATCTATTTTGATTTTGAAAAAGGAATCTATACCAGTTTCTACGAAAGACACTGTAATATTACATGTATTATGATGACTTATTTTTTTCCTTTTACGAAGGCTGTCACCTATGCAGAATCATTCTATCGCTCTCGAAAGTAAAACTTAACCATTGGTACCAAAATGTTTTGATTTATTTATTTTATATACACACAAAAATGTATGCATATTATTTTATGTTGATTAGATTATAATTATGTATTTTTATATCGTATTATTAACAGAAACATTTAAAATCTATAATTGATATAGACCTACATGTATTTGTGATATCTCTCTTTCATATATATGAACAGATGTCATATTTGTATAAAGTTTTCCAAAAGTCTTATGTTGTTACATGGTCTAACCCTACGGCTAAATAATCTAGTATATTAAATGACACATGATGCATTTCCAATGTATCATGAAACAAAAATTACATGCACATTGAATTATAATAATTATCAAATTTTAAATCTTTTTCTAACATTATATTTGTAGAAAAATATTGAACAATATATAATTAATGTTTTCGGTATAAAAATATATGATATATGAATATAGTACATTTTCTGAGTATAATGCAATGCCATGTTTATGTTAACAAAGTACAAAATTAATTGATTTGTTCATTACAAAAATAACATTATAGATTAGGCAAAATACTACACTTATAAAATGGTAAAGTAATAAAATCTTGTTATAAAAGCTATTTTTTTTAAAAATAGGATATTGGTATTTACAACTAAAATGCTTAAAGGTTTACTTTCGCTGTGACTGCTTTATAAATGACATCGTGAGAAATATCCGCAGATCTTTCACTTCACTTTAACATGTACATGTATCAGCTAACTGAGTACAAAAAACATCTATCTCTTCTAGCCAGTTTATGAAAATTGTTCCTCATTATGTTTAAAGAGGGACCTTTAGATATTTGTGTCGCTTATTTTGCTTGGTTTTGATGTGGCGAATCCTTCATCAGAGGAAATTCTGGCATTTGCCTTGGAGGGAATAATTTCTAAAGACCCTTTACGTAGTACGTGTTGTGTCTCAGGATTCTCGTATTGTCCTTTATCTGTGATTTCTTTTTCATAAGCAACGTTAACGAATCCTGTAATAGGAAGACCGATATCAAACTCCTGTACATTGTATTATGATACATTTATTTAAGCTGTTAAATTAAAGATATAATGGAATTTATATAATTTTTGGAGATTCAAGTTATACATGAACATTTTAACCCAGGTTCCGAATTCACGTTAATACCCAAGCATACCCACTTTACAAGACAGGGGATCCTTAAATTTAATGTTGAATTCCTTAAAATATAAACAAATGTTTATATTGTAAAATTAGTTTTTCAGCTTACCCTGAGTGACGACCTTGGGGTTATCCTCCAGAATCTGAATCAAGCGTTCAATATGGCCGTGTCCGTATGCCTCTACGGGATAAGCAGGTTCATTATGTTTCGGGATGTCCAAACCTAGTGGAAAAATACAGGTTACCTTTACTAAGAATGCATAGTTGAGCCTAAAATTATTATAAACTCAAAATATATGATAACAATTTTATAAAGACTAATATTTTGCAGTAAAATATATGTAACAACAAAAGCGTATCTTTAAACACAGGCTCATTTGGAGTTCTTATAACCGGAATATATTAATAACCACTGATCACCTTCGTCAATTGCTTTGGCAAATACCTTTCTCCTCTTGTTCTCGGCTCACCCTGAGGACCCCGAGTGCTCTCATAACCCCAAAAATGATCGCCGACAACACCAGTGTCCAGCTTATTATGGCTAACAACCCTATAAACTGCCTTCCGAGCATCTTTCAATTGGAGTAAAAAAAGACAACATTACTGAAAATCAATTAATCGACGAATTAATCGAACAATTAATCAATTAGTTTTACAGATCTTAAACATGATCAACTATTCTTTTATTTAAAACAAAAAACTGGATACAATGGTTACTTGTACTAGTATCTATAAAAACAACAGTGCTGAAAATGAAAATAATTATTCATTTAATAAAAAATCATGTTAACTCAATAATTTTATATGCGAAATAAAAATTAAGCATTCTGTACATATGAACAATTTTTAAAACAAGTTAAGTTACTGCCATATAAGTAGATGAAACAAAAATATCAACAGTCTAGTTTAAAGTCAACGTTTTGTAAGTTCTATGGTCAATACAATGACCTTGTCAGTAAATACGATATATCATCAAGTCAAATGCTGGCTGACTTTTTCATACTAATTGTTAGGCCATAATATTCACACTGAACCCCGATCATAACAAGGAGCACATGGCGGGTGTGACCGGTCGTAAGGGGATGCTTACTCCTTCAGAGCACTTGATCCAACTTATGATGTTTTAGAGGTCCACTTTGCTATATTTGCATTGTTTAACGGACCTTTGAGATTCAATACTGTTCATTATCTCCATTTATGAAAAACAGCTACTCGGACAAAACGATTAAGTGAACTGAATGTTGGTTATACGAATAGCTTTAAACCCACTGATCCCGTTATTCCCTCTTGACTTTCCATTAAACTGAAAAAGCGCTCAATTTGGTTCTCAAACTCCTTTGTTACATATATTTACGTTCGGAATGAGCTTACATAACCAGATTTCAGATCCCATGCATATAAAATTCCCTTGGAACTGTCAAAGAAAGCCACAGCAATAACTCCCCAACTGCCTCCGCCAAAATGTACTGGAAGAAATACATTTGTAAAATCAATTTTTAAGGAAATTCTTAATGATTATTCTGTGTTGCGTAAGTAGGCAAACAGAATCAATGATGTTTATTTATGAGTATAATATAAAAGAGGGTAAAAAGTATTAAGCATGCATAATTGATGAAAAAGTATACCTGCAACGGCATCCAAGGGATCATCCACGCCAACCTTGACCATTAAAGCGGAGTAGGCCATGTATACAACCGCAGAAATGAGCCCAATCACACATGCGGCATAGGGTTCGTAAACATTACATCCAGCACATATGGCAACCTAAAATGAATCCTTCAATCGTCGGAAATATGACAAAATTTCGTATTTGTGGATAAATATAAGGGAATGAATGGTGTTGAGGAAAACGACAAATATGTGCCTGAGTTTAATTTAATGCATGACATTGTAATTTGATTTTAAATATATATTTTCATACCATTCCAGTCAATGAGCCATTGATGGTTAATAATAAACTCCAAGCGTTTCCAAAAAATTTAAGACGATGGAGAATGAGTGACATCACAGCAGAGCATGATCCGGACAGAACTGTGTTTATTACTACTATTGACATCACGTCGCCGTCACCAGGGTTACTGATTGACAGCTGGGATCCACCATTGAAAGCCAAAAATCCAAAGAAAAGGATGAATCCACCCAGAGAAACCATCTGTTGGAAATACATAAATGGTAAACATTTTTGTTTTTATCTGTAGAGGCGAGACAAAGATAAAAATTATATTTATATGATACGCAATAGCAAATCAAACCCAATTACATGTACAGCCTTTTTAAATTCAGAAAAGATCATATCTATGATCAAATCATTCAGCATCCGAGAAAGTTTTGCAAATGTACCTAACAATCAGCGTAAACTATTTCAAACATTATGTGTTTATCAATATATTGTAATATATTTGTATATTTATCTACTGGTACGGAGTGGCCTCTGATCGTAGCTACAGTTTTGGAGCTGCGGTGAAATCGGCCGATTCTGGGACCCAGAATTACAGCACCCACGAAAGCTGCGACTCCACCGAGAACGTGAACAACTCCGCTACCGGCAAAGTCCTGTAGAAAACAAAGTCAAGATAGGTTGTAAACATACTTGTCTGTAGTATTTACTATTCATAAGATCATCCATTTTGTCGAAGCTTAAAACATAATTAATGATTAAAAAAAAAGATATACAGACAAAATGAGCATCCTTGACATAAAAATTAATAAATTCTTAATATATTAGTAAATAAAAGAAATAGATAAACATATATAGAAAATTTATTATAAAATGAGATTATACTTTTACAAATGTTCATAATATATATAGATATGCATGTACACAGTTGTGCTTACATGTTTTCATTTAATGCTGCGTTAGAGGATTGATTTTTTTTTTGTATCCCCTACCTCCTTACGTTACCATGGAGGAACCATTCAGGGTTACCTGATAAGCAACTCTTTCGTTGTTAAGGGTTGAGTAAGTATCCCCGATAATCAGCCATCCTCCTGGCGCCCACGCCCAGTGTGTAACGACGGGGTAGATGAAGCCTGCAAACCATGACAAATACTTAGTAAATGTTATTTATTCGGGGTGGATCAGATACAGTCACCAGCACACCCCCCCCCATAGCACATAAAGAAGCAGAGAATTAATATGTTCTCAGTCGTTGATATGATAATTCTACAGTTAATGTTAAATAAACTAATTCTTATGTTAATTTTCTTTAAACATTAATCCTGTAATTCATACAACACAAACTTTTTTTTCCCAATTTTTCTTCGATTTTTGAATCAAAAATGCCAAGAGCAGTCTAAATTATAGATATAAACATAAATCATAACTACAAGCAATTCACAATGGAATCATAAGTAATTTTTATTTGAACTTAAAAAAGCTGGATAGAATCTCACAATGAACATCCCATAATGTACATGTATACAACTGTATAAGTATTTTAAATTCAGTACCTGTTATAATTACACTGTACACCAAGTATGCTATAAATTCGCATCTCTCTGCAACTGCACCAGAAACAATGGTAGAAGCTGTAGCGGCAAACGTAAACTGGAAGAAAAACATGGCGTATTCGCTGTGTGTAACCCCAGAGGAAGCAAAATACGTCAGTCCAATAAACCTGTTGCCGGCACCATCACCATAAGCGAAGGCAAATCCGAACAACCAATAGGATATACCAGAGAGAACTGTAAAAGAAGCAAACATTAACTGTTTAGCAGTTATTTTGCTGATTTAAATACAAACATGTTTAAAAAAAATCTCATTTATTTTTTTGATACAAGTTATAAACTTCAACTGCTGCATTTGTCATTTACTAAAACTTAAAAGTAGGTGCACTATTATAAGAAGGGATATTGGAGACAAAATATAATCCGTAGTTACATGAGTGAATTGTCCAACAAAATGTTCGAGAAGTGGTGTAAATCAGATATGGATACTACAAAATTCCAAGGAACTTTTGAAACAATTGAAATCACAAAATTTTACCAAAATCAACAACATAAAACTTATGACTTTTCATTTTTATACTATTCCCCACGATAAATTAAAGTCCAGGCTCCGAGGAAATCATTGACAGCTGTTTTTACAATAAAAATGGAACTCGTAATAATACTTACCTGGTCATTGGTCATTTGCAAAATTATTTTGTAATAAAAATTCTGATTATACAAACAAGTACTCTGAAGTTGATATTAATATATTTTGTTTTTTGAGTCCAGGTTTTCGAACAATCTGTTGGAATTCCCATGGTTGCCAATTGCGCCTGGTTATTAGCAGACCTACTTTGTATTCATATTGTCCAAAATCTTATACGTGAAAAGAAGATAACACTGGCCATGGCCTTCAAATCGACTTTTAGACAGATCGACGATTTTTTGTCAACTACCAATGGTTATGTCCATTCTTATGTCAATACGATATACCCCGGTGAGTTTGAAATAAAGAAACCATAGAGTATGGCACATTTGTTTCATATCAAAATATTTTAGATGTTTTACTTGAGAAAGACGTAATTGTAATCTAACGGAGAAACGAGATGATTTTAACTTTTCAGACGTCAACCTCCCTTATTTGTGCAGCAATTTACGTGTACCTTCATCACCTTCATTCGAGATTTATATCTTTCAGCTGATTCGATATGCAAGAGCATGCTCCACTATGAACAATTTTTTAAACGAGGTAAAATTGCTCAAACAAGAATATCAGCAGTCTCAATTATTGCCATCATTTGTTTAGTTATATGATAGATACAATGGTCTTGTCCGCAAATTAAATTAATCATTTAGTCATATACTAACTGACTTTTTTCTTCTTATTGTAAGGTCATTATATACCGTAATTTCCAGATCATAACAAGGGGCACATCGCAGTTGTGATAGGTCGGCAGGGGATGATCACTCCTACATGGATCTGACCTCTGATGTTTTAGAGGTTGTTTTTGCTCCGCTCCTATTTGTATTGTTTAATGGAATTTTGATCCTGAATACTTTTGTTATCTCCATATATTTCATGAGTACTTATCTTTTGACATGTTGGATAAATAGCATACATTATATTTCATTTAATGACAAATGAATACATTTTCATTTTTAATGATGGATGCATTTTTTATGGATAGTCTTCCTTTTATTTTATATACTTCCTATTGTCTGCTGATGTTCAGAATTACTGCTTTAGAGCATACAATGCCTATTTAAGGTTCAAAAATCCTCTGCTCACTCAAACAAAATGTTGCTTTCACTTTTATGATTCCCCTAAAGAAACAACTTTTCTTTTGATATTTAATTGTCTTGTTTTATATGTACGGTCAAGTTTGTTTTGATGTGAAAATGGGGTTTTATTTCTAGCTCTACAAGCTCTTTTTCTTTGTTGGTTTCCCCCAAGTAATTCAATATTTTGTCCTACGTGAATTACTAGAAGATTGTCGATCTTTAATTTTAGAAGTATTTCTAGTTTGTCATTTTTTTTATCATTAATATTTACCAAATGCTTCAATTTTTTTATCAAGGGCATCATTTAAAACATTAGCATACCATCGGATGTATACAAAGAAAACGATTATTCGACATTAAAACTGTTTTATAAAATAAGAAAGTAGCATGTATTTTTCATTTCATAAAAATGGGTTCCAAACTATATTTTATTGTCAAATACTTTTTTTCAAAATTATTTGAAAAAAATCTCGATTTTAATTTTGGGAACACCATATATACAGAACATGAATGTAAATACGTAAGTTAATGTTTCTGTATGTTACACAAATTCATTGCATTTTCCTGCGACGTAAATAATTCCATGACATATTTGATGATTATTTCCTTTACCTTCCTCCTACATTTTTCCATTACACTTTCCTTTTACTTACAGAAGTCCATTACATTTTTGATGAGAATATTTGTAGTGTTTTTGCTTCTGACTGCCCCGGCTTCTAAAAAGGCAAACCCGCACTGTATAACTGTAGAAAAAGAATAGTTAGAATGGATTGTTTGTCTGAAACTTAACAGGAATCATAAAATAGATTTTTTAAAACCTTAATACAATGTTCTGTATTTACCGCGAAATTTATCATATATAGTCCTATGTCTTTTTTACATTGGTATTCATTCATATGAAAAATGTATAAATATTTCAAGAATCAACACAAACTCTTCACAAACCACAACTATGTGGTTTTGCAACGTATTTTAACCTTACATCCTTACAACTAGCTTTGTGGCAACGCACTTTGAAAAAATTACGCACTTTGAAAAAAATTTTCAAAGTGCGTTAAATTTGGGACACACTCAACGCACTTTGAAAATTTTTTCAAAGTGCGTTAAAAGTGTACATAAACATTTTTACCTTGTGGACATTTAACGCACTTTGAAAAAAAATATGTATAAAACAAAGTATCTTGACTTAGATTTTAGTAATTGAGAGAATCTATTTGTAATAATTATATCTTTCGAAAAACATTTTAATTTACATGTATTGATTAACCCTCATTGAGAACAAGGAGAAGATGGGTATATTAGAAGGTCTCTCAGACCAACTCATTTTTACTTTGGGTAGCCAATTGAAAGTGGAACACACCCCCACCCCAAGGTAAGCCCCAATTTTTAATTCCTATATTATGTATATCTTTGCAAAACATTTGTGTGTCTATCCCCCTCCCCCCCCCCCCCGGTACTGATGTCTATGCTACCCCCAAATATATGCATTTGGATAATTGATGTGACGTTGAAAACTTTTAATAAATTTTAGTTTACATTAAATGCATGTAAACTGGAAAAAAAATAGTACAGTAAACATATAAGAGAGAAAGAATTTTCAAAGTATGAAAAAATCCAAATCGCTCACTTTTACATCCTGAAGTGACCTTATCACTGAAAAGTTATCCAAAAAGTTCAAATTATTTACAATGTATCATATATCATTCCTAAGATTTTCAAGAATATTGACCAAGTCATACACATTTTTTTTCAAACTACGTTAATATGGTCGATATCAACGCACTTTGAAAAGAAATTTTATATTTTCAAAGTGCGTTGATTTGGTCCCAAATTTAACGCACTTTGAAATTTTTTTTCAAAGTGCTTAATTTTCAAAGTGCGTTGTAACATAGCTTAAAACCAAGATTATTCTGAATTATAATATAATAAAAAAAATCTTAAAAGCCTTACAAATAAAATCAATCAATTTTAATACACACATTCATGACTAATTGTACTTTCTATGCATATCCTGTAAATTAAAAAAAATAATTCTAGCAATGTTAAAAATGTAATAAAATACAGTACAAATATTTTTATGTTAGTTGACATTAAAATACATGCGATAAAAGGTAACCTGTTTGTAAAAACATGATCTGTATATGCATTCAACTCTACCAATGAAGCTACAGAAGAAGATAAAATTGAAACATTTTCCAATTGGAAGTACTATGTAAATTTTCAAGCATTGGAGAGTTAGGTATATTTTTAAAAGGATATTTAAAGATATTATTTCTTTTAAAAAATGACATAATTGTATTAATTATTAAAATCAAATTTAAAAAAGAAATACTTACAAACAACACACATTCCCATTATTATCAAAAACAAATGATCCATATTATCCTTAAATGTTGATGCTTCAACAATAAGTTCAGAGAGATTTCCTGCCATTTTTTCTCTCCACTTGTGTCTCAATTTCATATATTATTTAATGGTTTGGTCATGGTCATGGGTTATTGCACTTTGACCTGCACGTATAGCCTGGAGGCCCAGGGCATGTATCGATAAGAGGAGGTGTCAACTCTGTACGGTCTATGGGACCTATTCTTTGTGAAAGTAAATCAATGTGTTCTATATACTGACCGTAGTATAAATTAACAAATAAATATGATTAAATGGAGTGAGGAAAATTAAAACAAACAAGCAAGACAAAAAACTGTTGACCAAAATGATAGAACCTCTAACAGTTACTCATAATTACATAAGAAGCAGTTTCGGCAAATCGCTTTAAACATCGTCTACTAGTGATTTTCAGATACATTGTGTTTCTATTTGTATGTAATTGTGCATCATAGATTACATGTAATTCTCATATCGTACCATAAAAGTATATTTTATTGCATATTACATCGGAAAACAGATAGAAAGATTAGCATTAACATATTTAGCATAGCCGTTTATTGAATTCTTATAAAACGCAACTTATTTTTGAAACGTCCCAGTTGATTAGATACGCTTTAAGAAATTGCTGTGTGTACCTTGTTTGTAAAATGTGCAGTCTATCGTTAGCTAACTGGAATGTTGACAGATGACAGTCATTTCTTTTCATACTAAATTTCTACAAAACTTTTCCGTTTACCCCAGCATGACAAAGGGAACCATAGCAGGTTTGACCAGTAGACAGGGGATGTTCATGCTTCTATGTTTTCAAAAGTTCTTGTTTTCTCTGCTTCAATTTATGATGCCAAATCAATTCAAGGTGGTTACATCAGGCGCCTGGCATGAGTATTTAAGCATACCCTGTTGACGGTCACCACCTGCCGTGAGTCCTACAACTGTATGTATTGTTTAAGTAAACGAAACATTCTGTAGTCGAATTTAATACAAACACATAGGTCTATCAATCGGTGAGAAACAATGAAAACATATGGAAATAACGAACAGTATTCATGATCAAAAGTCCATAAAACAATACAAAATAGGAGCAGAACAAACATGGACCTTCCAAACATCAGAGGTGGGATCAGATGCCATTGCAGAGTGAGCATCCCCTGCCGACCGGTCACATCCACCTTGAGCTCCTTGTCATGATCGGGAAATAACGGAAAGATGCGTCATCAATTCAGTATATAAATAATGGACTAACAATTAGTATGAAAAACTTCAGTCAGCATTTGACTCAATGATAAATTGTATTTGCTGTCAAGGTCATCATCTTACGAAATGATAGCTTAAAACGAGACTATTATTTCATCACATTGTTTGTCAATAATTTACATCGTTTTAGAAATTGTTCATACGTACACTGTAGTGCATGCTCTTGTGTATCGAATAAACTGAGATATATAAACTCCGTATGCAGGTTAAGGAGGTATATTGCTGCATAAGTAAGGGAAGTTGACGCGGTAGAAAAGTCATCATGCTTAGAGCTTGGTTGTTAGATTACTATTAACGTCTTTTTCAACTAAAATATCCAAATATGAAACAAATGTGTGTGACTCTGTGGTATCTTTTCTCAAGCTCACAAGGATATATCTTATCGACATAAGAATGGAAATTATCATGATTATGAATTGACAACACCTCGTCGATATATCTAAATGTCGTGTTGAAGGCCACAGCAAGTGTCTTCTTCTTTACACGTACAAGATTTTGCACAAATTCTGCTTCATATGATAACAAAAATAGGTCTGCATATAACGTAGTCATCCAAAATACGACCTAGGGATAGTTTTTATTTGCAAGTTATGTAATCATAATGGCCATAAAACCTACGAAATAAACAAACGTGTTGAAATCTCAGAACCTTTAATTTGTGTGCGCATAATATCCCTCGGCCTAACAAAGTCATCATATTCAGAGCTTGCCTTGGACCAGTGAACAAGTTTGGAGACAAATACACAATATGCAGGTGAAAGCACAATATTATTACATACGAGGGACATTCAATAAATAATGTAAAAGGTCATCTAAAAATAAGAAATCTACATATTTTTAATACTTTCAACCCTTCAAAGTATTCTCTGTAACCCTTTATACATGCCTTGGGTCTTTGTACCCATGGCTAGAAGTCCTCTTTAAAAACAAAGAAAACTAATAAAATATGTTAGGGGCTCTTGCTTCTCGTAACAATAAAAAGACCACAGCTTTTTTGGTTTCCACATTCATTGATATTCCTTTGGGCTTTAAAAGTGCTCCCATGCTCCTTCATCAATCAGACAAGTTTAATTATCAAATCTTCAATTGTGTTAAATATTCGTTTTTAGAGAAACCGTTGGCACATTTTTGTCCTTGGCATTTGTACGAAAATAAGGCACTTATCTGATAGAAATACATGTATTATTATATTCATTTTCTTTGTCAGAATTCTATCAAGTGTTGTGATAATAAAATGTTTAGTGTCTTGAATTAGCAATGCCTTTAGTGTATGTCTTTTATTGTCTGACATTTTCAGATAGCATGCCACACACATGCAGCTTTGAAATTTTTTGATGTGGCTACAAATTTCAATGGACCAGTTTGACTCATATTTTAATTCTCATTCTTCTTTAAGTTTGAAATTCTGAATCCATTAAAAACTATAGAGCGTCAAAGACCCTTCTTTCTACATATAAAGATCGTATCTTGAAAATATAGGTTCCTCGAGGGTTTATGTTAAGAAGCATAGTTTTCACATAAGCTCTTATTTTCATCATGGCAGAGATCATTTACAAACATTTTACAGTTCAATAAAGTGACCATGTTTACTTTGAAAATGAATTTCTTTCAGAGGATTAAAGGAAACATCACGGAGTTTTCTGTGATTGTGAGCTCTTTAAAATTCTTCAACCGTGAAAAAATAATTATTATGATTTACTGTACTTTGCATTATTTAGCGAACGACCTCCGTAAGTAAGAAATATCGACAGTGGAAAAAAGTCATCTTATTTGTCACATAATTCAGGTTTTAGTTGGCTTTTCTCGTCTATAATCAGTAATAAATCCAAATATCAAGCAAATGTGGAGGACTCTTCAGTGTATCCCCCCAACCAAGTTCACTGGGATAAATCGAGTCGACATATAAATCTAAGTAAAATAAATATTGTATCTGAATGACGAGTCGAAGACAAAGGCAAGTGTTTTCTTCTCATGTAAAAGTTTTTCAATAACTTACCCTTCATACGAATATATAAACAGGTCGGCTAATGAAAGGGTTTGTTCGAAGACTTGGTCTCCGAAGACTATATTGATGTTGTTAATGCGACATCTTTAAATATCAAAACTAGAATACTTGTAAAAAATCAGAGTGATTTTCAACAAAATACTTTTGTCACAACAATTGACAATTTCCTAGTCACCTTTTTATTAAAGAAACAGTTGCCTATGATATCATAAAGTCTAGCTGATAATTTAAAATCGTAAGGAAATACACTAAATAGTGTGGGGAAAAAATCCCCTTTTGACAAATTGGTTTTTGAGTTTTTAGGGTTCCTAATCTGATTCACGACACCTACAGTATACTGTAGTACAATACGTCTGAAGTTTCTCCCTAACAACTTAACATTCAAAATCTTCAAAATCAAATGTCAGTTTTGAATATGTTTAATATCCCAAAGAACCAAACTTGAACTACCTAACCATATAAATAAAGGATTCCAAAACTTTTTCATACTAATTGTTAGTCCATTATTTATACACTGAATTGACGACGGATTTTTCCGTTATATCCCGATCATGACAACGAGCACACGGCGGGTGTGACCGGTCGGCAGGGGATGCTCACTCCTCCATGGCATTTGATCCAACCTCTGATGTTTTGGAGGTCCGTGTTTGCTCTACTCCTATTCTGTATTGTTTTACATGTATGGACTTTTGATCTTGAATAGAGGTTGTTATCTCCTTATGTTGCATTCATAAAAATCCTTACAAACAGATACTACATAGTACACAGTAGGTTCCAGTAAATGTTCAACCAAGCCTCTTTCTTTATTCCTCACTAAGATATTAACAGTAGTGAAGGAGAAACCTCAAGAGAACTGTGCAACAATATTTTCAAGAAGTGCTTTAAATCAGATGTAGATACTTTAAAATTCCAAGAAACTTTTGGACAATTTGAAATCACTAGATTTTGCCAAGATCAACAGCTTAAAAACTTACGACTTTACAACTTTATACACAGTCTTTCTCACGATATTTAAAGTCAAGGCTTTTTGGACATCATTGACAGCTGCTTTTTCAATGAAAATGGAACTCGTAAATTTATTATCTTGTCTTCGGTCATTTGGAAAATTATTTTGTTAAAAGACATTCCAATTGTAAAAACAAGTACTCCGAAGTTGACATTAAAAAGTTGCTTGAGTTTTTGATTGACGAAATGTGGTTTTTGGAGACCAGATCTTCTAACAATCTACTGTAATTCCCATGGGTACCAATTGCGCCCCGTTATTAGCAGACCTATCTTTGTATTCACATGAAGCAGAACTTGTCCAAAATCTGATGCGTGAAAAGTAAACACTTGTAAACACTTGATGTGACCTTCAACTCGACATTTAGATATATCGACGACGTATTGTCAATTATAAATGGTAATTCCTATATCTTCTTATGTCGATACAGTATATCCTGCTGAGCTTGAGGTAAAAGATACCACAGAGTCTCACACATCTGTTTCATATTTGGATATTTTACTTGAAAAGACGTTAATAGTAATCTAACAACCAAGCTTTTTGATAAACGTGATGACTTTAACTTTTCTATCGTCAACTTCCCTTACTTATGCAGCAATATACCTTCATCACCTGCATACGGAGTTTATATATCTCAGTTGATTAGATACGCAATAGCATGCTCTACGCATGAATGATTTCTAAAACGAGGTAAATTATTGACAAATAAGTTGATGAAACAAGAATTTCTGAAGTCTCGTTTAAAGTCATCATTTTGTAAGTTCTATAGTAGATACAATGACCTTGACAGCAAATACAATTTATCATTGAGTCAGATGCTGACTGCCGTTTTTCATACTAATTGTTAGTCCATAATTATTAATACACTGAATTGACGACGGATTTTTCCGTTATTTCCTGATCATGACAAGGAACACACGGCGGGCGTGACCGGTCGGCAGGGGATGCTCACTCCATGGCACCTGATCCCATCACTGTTGTGTTGGAGGTCCGTGTTTGCTCTGCTCCTATTTTGTATTGTTTTATGGACTTTTGATCTTAGAACACTGTTCGTTATCTCCAATATGTTTCAATATTTAGATAACGAGTAAAGTTAGGAGCTTGGAAAAGTAAAGCATCTGCTGGAGCCGGTATTTCGTTTGATTTTTTATGAAGTTTAGGTATTCATCGTAGAAAGGGTAGATCGAACTCATATTCGTTTACTTAAAATGTTAAAAGTATGAAACACTGAAATGTAATTTTAGATAAGACTTTCATCTTTGGAAAGTGAACTGCAAATATATATAGGATTTCCAAAGGTAGAATTGAAACTTTAAGTATAGTTCTTCTCAAATACAATTATAATAATGAGATTTAAAAAGGCCATATTGTAAAATGCCTTCTTTGCTGGACACATTACATGTTACGCAGTATCTCTAATTCTTTCATCACCTTCGATTTAGTGATAAGGGAAGGCAAGATGAAAACTGCAAAGTCAAATGCTGATTTGCTATTGACCGTGTTTGGTATGCGGTAAAAATATTACTTATCGGAAGTTGTCACATCCATATGAATACCCAAATATTTAACATATTAATTAGTTCCATCCTTATTGTAAATATTTCTTTTTAGTCTACATGATTATTATTTGTTTTTGCCTGCTTTTAACAAAAAAAAACAAGCTCAGCCGTTCAGCAGGAGAACTAAGGAGCATAAATTACTTTTTAGATCCTTAAAACCTGTTAAAACTAACACTTTATGAACTCTCTGACTGCTCATTTCAATGCACTAGGTATTTAACAGATAAGTATTGAAACCTTTCGGAAATCATCACTCTAGGATGGTTATTAAAGTTTGATCCACATAGCACAGGGAAAAAAGGGAAAGCAAAATTGAATGTTTTAATTTTCATCAAAGTTTACATTTAATAAATTACATGTGTTTAAATATATTTAGTTTCAAAATATGATACATGAATAAATAATATTCTTTTGAAGTTAAACATCAAGATACAGATTGCAGTTTAAGACACTTGGACATTTCACATCATCAATATGTACAATCATACATACATATACATGTATATAAATGAAACATTTTTAAATTATAAATAATATGCTTAAATGGACAATAGGGTATGGCATCGGAGAACTTGTACCCCTCTTGGTCCCAGATATACAAGCATATGTAAAGTTTCATTTACGTCTGTCACAGATTTATACGTAATCTTATCAGGGTACATTCAAGTTTAAACAAAGCACCGAAGGTGGAAGCATGTGCCTGCTCAATAAATCAGGATAATTTTGTCATGGGAACTTCACAGTTTTGTGTCGTTGACGGTGACGCGTACTTCCCCTTGAGGTGCCGTGACGCGTACTCCGTTGGCGGGAGTGCTGGGGTGAAATTCTTTTGAGGGAACCTTCTCTTGGTACCCATTACGTAAAACGTTCTGTGTCTCTGGATTCTCGTAATTACCTCTATCTGTTATCTCATTCTCATAAGCCACATTTGTGAATCCTGCAATAAGTACATGAATTCTTATTAAAAGTTAATAAAAAGAATCAGACGTCAGAGGTATGCATAAATGCATGTTTATGTACTTTACCTTTTTAAAATGTAAAATTACTCAACTTAATTGAATTGATATTTTGCATAGTGATTTATCATAATAAGAGTTAATCAGCTTACCCTGCGTGACAACCGTGGGGTTATTTTCCAGTATCTGAATCAAGCGTTCAATATGGCCATGTCCGTACGCCTCCACGGGATAAGCAGGTTCATTATGTTTTGGGATGTCCAAACCTAAACGTGTAATAATTACGATTATATCAAAATTGTCGTTTATAAAATTCCTTCAGGTTTTTATTTGAATTGTTTCAAAAAAAAGAGAATATTTTAACAACGTAAGCTTCAAATTAGAAGAAGCTTTGGATGAGGGCATTGTTTTTACCGTAAAAAAATGCTATGTTATACACATTTTGAGTACCTTTTATCTCCTCCTCTTGGCTCACCCTGAGAAATCCAAATGCTTTCATAATCCCGAACACGAGCCCCGAAAGCACCAGTGTCCAGCCTGCTATAGCTAATAATCCTATAAACTGCCAACCCAATTTCTTTGGGGGAAAAAGAAATGAAAATCAAGTTATCTATAAGTACATTTATAGTATGCCTACAGTTACATGTATGTAGGTAATTAAAACACAAAGTCAGAGTAAGATGATAATGAAGCTAAAAATTTTCCTTGGTAAAAATGTACAGGTGTCCCAGACATACATACACGGAAAATCTAGAGAGAACATGCTTGGCGCAGTTTCTGACATCTCTAGATTTTCCATGTAATTCCGGTGTTGTAGCATAGACTTTCCCCCCGGAAAAACGGGCCCGGGTTAGAGTTTCCCCCCAGAAAAACGGGCCTAGCACAGAATTTCCCCCCCGGAAGAAACAACCCGGGCCCGATTTTCCCCCCTAGGAAAAACCGCCCCAGTATAGAATTTCCCCCTGAATGCCAGTACGCTTTTTCCCCCTCCTTGCATTTTTTTACTTTAAAAACCGTGTTTGGTTCGGCTATTAGATTTCTGTATTGTCCGTATTCTTAATAACTTGTCAAATGTGCAGCATCAAATCACATATTTTCATTACTAGCATTGTTAATTTATAGTATAAAAAATAAATGAGTGTCATAAAAAGGAATGTTTGAACACTATATGAATTCATATTAGATTCTATTTCCATGACTAAAGCAAACATTTTGGATTATGCATGCACTTAAAGGGGCATAGACACAGATTCAACTGAATTTTCAAAACTAATTTAAATGCTCACAATTTCAAATTAAGGCATCGTCTAATGATTAGCAAAAATTTGAACATCCTTTTTTGATTAACAAATGAGATACAAAACTAAAAGTTCTTCAAAACGTAAACAAGGTTCGCGCCCCGTTATTGTTTACATATTGGAAATGTCATGTTAATAACAAAATGAAATTCATTAAATTACTAGAAACTGTCTGAAAGTATTTATAATTGACCTCTTTATTGAAATTATCTACTTTAAACAAATATATTTTAGTATTTTAATCCATGTAATCAAAACATGACACAGGCCCTGTTTACATAACATATTTTTGGAGCTCTAAATCTTGTATTTTTACAACTGATTTTTAAAATTTAATGATCACTAAAATTACCTTATTCAAATAATCATAAAAATTATGAGATAATTTTTTTTATTTTTTTCCCCTGAAACTGTGTCTATGCCCATTTAAACTATAGAAATGTTTAAAAGCAAGCAGTGCATCCATAATATACTTGGTTTTTTGTTTAACTTTACGATTTTATTGGTAACCTTTGTTATATAAAATTGATATTTGTTTGATTTTGTTTTGTTGATTGTTAAACTCGCTATTATGGTGCTATTATTGAAAATGTGAATCAAGACTAGAAAATTATTGAAAAAGAGAAAGAAATGTAACATTTATTCTATAGATAAGTATGTGGTTACTGTTTATGTTTCTTCAAAATCAAAAAGGTTATAGAATGAATTATCTGAAAGAGTTCATAATTAAAAGGGTTAAGTAAGTCAAATAAAAAAATTATATGTTTGATGTACTCTGACCGACCTGTCAAAATCACCCTTACACAATAATTTATTTAAGCACTTATAATTTTTTTTTCTTGTTTTCCATAGTATAATTTCTATAGGATGCTTCTTGATTGAATTTTTCATGGTGGATCTAGGGGTGAGTGTGTGTGTTCCCCTGGACATGGCAGAGTTATTAAATGTACAGTACTAAACCAAGCAGTACAATTCTCTGTCATCCTTGAACTTTCAGTAAGACGTGGTATTCTAGGCACTAAGTCTATTCTGCAATATCTTAAATGTATTATTTTTAGTAAGGGTTTTTCCCATACTAGGGTAAATACTTTTCTATAAATAGATGTTTACCTAAACACTATATTTTTGTATGGCTTAATACACCAAATCCCATACTGTACCTTTTTGTAAATGTGTTCTTACGTTTTCATACTCAGTTTACTGATACTCTTGTGTTTACAAGTCAAATTTGTGTTTTTTGTATATATGTTTTTTGTTCAGTTCGTATTCATTTCTTATGCGTTTTGTCTTATTCCAACCATACCGGTTTCATTTTTACTTTTATACACAGCATATCCGATGTGTGAATCCATGCCATCCAAATCAAATATAATGATTTTTGACACAAATGATTAAGGTGATTATAACTATTTTTAGGATGTCATGGATAAACTATCAGTTAGATTTTTGTGTATGTTTAAATCTACATGTTCGTCGTATTATTATATATATACTGTTAATACTAGGGTGCATAGAGACCAATCCTGGCCCCAGTTTTATTAAAAGTAGCCATAGTAGCAAACCTTTAAGTATAGTCCATAACAATGTTTGTAGTCTACTACCAAAATTAGATATCATAACTTCAGAGTTATCAACATATGATATTATTACCCTTAGTGAAACGCATTTAGATAATAGCATAAGTAATGAAAATATTTCAATAGAAGGATTTCACCCACCTATTCGAAAAGATAGAAATAGACATGGCGGTGGTGTTGCTATATACATTTCGGACCAATTAGCTTACCATTTTCGAATGGATTTGTTAATTGATGGATTAGAAATTCTTTGGTCAGAAATACATAATGGCAACAAAAAAATTTTATTAGCTGTACTTTATAGGCCCCCATCTTCTCTAGCTAGCTATTGGGACTTATTTAGCTCAAATTTGGAAAAGGCACTTGAATGTAATCTCCCAATATTCCTACTAGGAGATTTTAATGTTAATGTTTTGTCAAATCAAAGTAGCAGTTTCAAACTAATGCTACAAAAATTAAATTTAACAAATTTAATTGATTGTCCAACCAATTTTACAAAAACTGAGGGTACTTGCATAGATCTTATAATTACTAGCAATCCAACTTTGGTTGATAGTACATTTGTTTCAGCCCCATTTTGTAGTTCACATTCCCTTGTTGGACTGGACCTGAAATTCAATATACACAAACAATATGCATATAAGAGAGAAATTTTTGATTATAGTAATGCTGATTACAATAACCTCAATAATGATTTAGAAAATATAAATTGGGATTCAGAAGTTTTCAATACTACTGATGTAGATGAAATGTACTCTAATTTTACAGAAGTATTAACCAAAGGCATAGATAAACACATCCCTAAAAAAGTAATTACAATTCGACCAAAAGACAAAGTATTTATGAATAGTACAATTAGAAAATTGATGAGAAAACGAAATCGAATCCATCGTAAAGCTGTCAAATCAAAAAATCCACTTCACTGGGAAAAGTATAGATACCTGCGAAATCAGGTCATTGATGAAATTAGAATTTCTCGGCAAAATTATAACAAAAAACTTACAGAGCAGATAAATAAAACAATACCACCTGGTAAATGGTGGAGAATAGTGAAATCATTATCCAAACTAAATAATAAACATAAGCCAACACCTCCTCTTAAGGTCGATGGCCAAACGCTGTTTCATCCCATAGACAAGGCCAATGCTATAAACAAATTCTTTACAAATATCTCTTGCATAAACGATGAGCCTGATTTACCACCCCAGGGACCAGGTCCCCCCTTACATCATATGGAAACAATTAGAATTACAGAAAATGAAGTCTTAGACCAGTTACAAATCATCAATACATGTAAGCCATCAGGTCCTGATGGTGTTTCACCTCGAATTTTAAAATCTACTGCACAATCAATCTACAAACCACTGACAAAATTATTTAATATATCACTAAACAATGGAACTCTTCCTAATATTTGGAAAATTGCCCAAGTTACTCCTGTTTATAAAAATAAAGGAAATGCAGATGATGTCAATAACTATAGACCAATATCAGTAACATCTGTTGTTTGCAAATTATTAGAAAAAATTATTGTCAAGCATCTGCACAACTATATACTTGAGAACGATATACTATATAAGTTCCAGTCTGCTTTTCAAACTGGCGACTCAACCAGTAATCAGTTGGTGGAAATCTATAATACTATTATATCCAATCTTGATAAAGGCCGAGATGTACGGTTTGTGTTTTGTGATATTTCTAAAGCATTTGATAGGGTCTGGCATGAAGGAATTATATTTAAATTAAAGGAAATTGGAATATCAGATCAAATCCTAAATTGGGTCAAAAACTACTTAGTAAACAGAAGACAAAGAGTGGTCCTTGATGGTTATACATCAACTCTTAGACCAATTAGTGCAGGTGTCCCCCAAGGATCTGTTCTAGGTCCTTTCTTATTCTTATTATATATTAATGATATTTCTTCAAATTTAACAAATAATGTCCGCTTATTTGCTGATGATACTTCACTCTACATTATTGTTGATAATGACATTGTTAGTGCTGCAAACTCATTAACAAATGATTTAGAAAAGTTGGATCAGTGGTCAAAACAATGGAAAGTTGATTTTAACCCCAAGAAAACAGTGAATGTAAATTTTTCCAGAAAGCATTTTTCTCATCCCAATGTTAAATTTGGTTTAAATGGCCCCTTAATTGAGCCATCGGAAAATCACACACATTTGGGACTAAATTTTCAGTGTGATGCAAATTGAAAATCTCACATACAAATTATTTATGAAAAAGCATGTAAACGGTTAAATGTTCTACGAATGTTAAAACATTCCCTTTGTCGAGACGCGCTAATAAAAATATATATGTCATTTATTAGACCAGTTTTAGAATATGGTGATGTTGTTTGGGATAATTGTAATGAAAAGGAGTCATCTCTATTGGAAGAAGTTCAAATTACTGCTGCAAGAATTATTACAGGAATGAGAGTGAACTCATCAAGATCACTTTTATATGATGAATTGGGTTGGAATACATTATCTGACAGAAGGAAAGTACATAAATTAATATTATTTTACAAAATTGTATATGGGTTAGCACCACAGTACCTTCAAGATCTTCTAAGACCTTGTATTCCACCCCAAACCACATATTCATTAAGAAACAATGACGGTCTTACTTATTTTATTCCTCAGACGAGGACCACATCATATATGAATAGTTATTTCCCATCTACAATTAAATTATGGAAT